TTTCCTTTTTTTTTTTTTTCTTCTTCTGAAAGATTGGCCTGCAAGTCTGTTTTTACCATTTAGTAACTTTTTAATATAGTTTATGAAAATAAATTATACAGCAACTATTTTAATAAATTAAGCACACACCAAAAAAAAAAAAAAAGATAAAATTAAGCAAAGCTGCATTTCTACCAAAGGGTGGTTCGACAGTCCTGGCGACGAGCAGCGCGAGGTCCTGCACTCGGAGCTGCCGGTATCTGCTCGTTCCTTCTCTAAAGGCAAGTCCGGATCCAGCGTCACTCGCCGGCCGTCAGCGGTTTTGGGGAGTAAAGCCCTGGCTGGGGTGGGAAGCACCCCGGGAGGCCGCTGCGTTTCTGGGCACCGGTTGTGCTTTTCAGCTGGAGGCACGGTGGGAGGCAGCGCCGCTGGGACCCCCTTGTCCCGGGGGATGTTTGGGAGGGGGTCCCTGCCTGTCCCATCTCACCTGGAAGACTCTGGATGAGGAGCGAGGGGCCGGGGAGGGGAGCGCTATGGGGAACACGCCGATAAACCCCGCCATCTCCGAAAGCCAAGGGGGCTCGGGCGGGTGCCTGGGTCCCCGACGAGCCCTCCCACGGGCAGGCTCAGACCTGGTGGGTCAATTTGAAGGGTCAAATCATCCCGAGGGCAGATCTTAACTACGAAGAACAAAGGACAACAGCCAGTTCCCTTCCTACTGGCAGCAGGACGATCCTTCCTTTGGCAAACCCTGCTTTCCAGCAGTTTCCTCCCCAAAACGCTCCCAGCCACAATTTCAGCCCCAAGCGTCGCCCGCGGCAGAGCCTGCCCGGCCGGGGCACAGCCCTGCACATCTCCCTGCACCCACGTGCTCCTTCAGGCACATGCATGATAACACAGGTCCCTATTAAAAACACTTTTAGGGTTTAAAAACGGGCCAGATATGTAAGCGCCATGTGCCTGGTGCCTTCCAAACCACCGATTCCCTCCCATGTGAGCGGCTCAGGTGGTTCCCACCCTGCCCGCAGCAGGTCCCACCCAAACCAAGCTAAAGATGAATTTTTTTCCCCTTCTTTTGGCCCCAAGGAGGCCAATGTTGAGCTGAAAACTTCCATGCAAGAAAACTGTCCCGGCTTATCTGAATTTCATGCTGCAGGAGCGAGCCAGGTCATTCCCCACCTTGAAAGAGGCTGCAGGGAGAGGAGCGGGGGCCCTGCACAGAGCAGCCAGCTTGAGCAAACCATGCCGTGGGATCTTGCCAACCTGATAAGCCGGTACAACACAAGGCTGAAGGCTGCACCCATCCAGCTGAAAAAGCAGTATCTCCAGTTGAAAAAGGAGCTTTGGTAGTTTTTATGGTCCATTTCGTTGTTCATCTGCCTCCGGGCCCTGCTAGAGGGAGGAGGACAGCAACCACCTCTGCAGAATTCAAGGTTGGACAAAGGAGGCTATAAATTTTTTTTCCAAATCAGCAGGATGAGAGCACCCTCCAGAACCGCCCTCCAGAACCATTCCAGGCAGGATACAAACATCAGGTGTTCCTCCCCAAAGAGGGATGGGGACTCACTGGCAAGACCGGACCGAGCCACCTCTTTGGGATCTCACCCACGCCCACAAAGACCATCACCCCCTCGGCAGAGACCACTCTGCTTGCTCCGCTCACATCCAGCCTCGGAACAAAAGCTCTGGTCCTTTTCCATGCCCAAACAGCAGATCGAGTCCCTCCCCTTACACCTAGGTGTGAAGGAACTCTAGGAACAGCTTTATTTTCAATGGATTTCAAGAGAAGGCTGTTAACTACAGTTAACCTTGGGATCTTATCCAGCACTATTAGCCACAGGCAGCAGGCTGGCACTGACCACGCTCCAGCTCCCCTGCCTGTCTGGGAGCAAGGAGAGGTGGAGCAGGGCCCTGGGAAGGCTGAAGAGCATCTGCCACCTTCACAGCAGAGCTGACCCCACCACTCCGGATCGATATGGGGTCTTGTGCAGCTACAGCCGACACCAAGCACATCGGGGTGACAGGCTGGTGTCCCACCATCCCCTATCCAACACCCCAGGAGCACGTTTCCTCCGTCATTTCGGCTGCTGCAGACAGAGCCCAAGCCTTGCTGCTGGCTTCAATTTGGGGAGGGCTGCCCGCGCCGTGCACAGGCTTCAAGTAACAGCAGAAGCACCAGCAGGCTGTTGGGAGAAGTCCTCCAAGGACAGTGACAGCCGACCAAATACACGTGATTCAAGTATTGCCCCTAAAGTCTGGCTGCTTCTTCACCAGCTCCGAAAGCCGCAGAGCCACCCACCCACCCGGGGAGTGCCGGGGGGATGCAGGGAGCGCCCCGGAGGGGCAGGGGATGGAGCGGTGCAGGACGGCGCTCCTGACCCACCACAGAGCAGGGTTGTGCGTTTTCACCCCAGGCAAGCCCAGCATCGGCAGGACGGGCTCTGCACTGATTCCCAGTGCCCGGCCAGCACCAGTTTTCCCTGGTCTGCTCTCTAGGTCCGCTGCTTTCCCTTCCCAAACCCAGCCTGCGCCTCTCCATCCCAGAACAGGGAAGGAAGGAGTGAAAATGCTGTCGCTACCACCACACCTGGGAGAGGACCGGCTTCTCCAAGGGCAGACTCACAGCTCCCCCATTTCGCACGTCCCGCAGGCCATCACCTATCCACACGCACTGGCCCACGCCATCGTATCCTTGCCTCCGGGGTCTCTTTTTTGGAGAGACGCTTGACAGGAGACACGTGCACCAGGCACACTCTTGGTCGCTGGCACAGAGTTGGACACTGCAGGCATCAGACCAGGCTTGGCTCTCGGGAAGGTTTTCCTTTCCAGCATATGGATAATTTGGAAGATTCAAATCTTCGGCACATGGACAGCCAGGATGCAGCAGGGCCGGGTGTGCGGATAGCCGAGTTTCACCTGCACAAGTACAGATGTTTTCCCCCCCCCCAACATTCACCCAACGTGCTGTGCATTTTAGTCGAAGCAGTTGCATTTATTCACAGGCTGCGCTGATAACTTGGTGTGAGCTGTAGGTCTACAGCCGAGGGGAGGGAACACAGCAGCGGCTGCGGAGGGATGAAGGCTGGTCCCCGCGCGGAGGGGACATGGAAGCTGTAGACTGGATTAGCTCCAGTTTCACCAAGGTCAGGATATGCTGTTCAGCACGTCCCGGGGCAGCTCCCCCTTCCTGATAACCACTGCCCCGACAACGCAACACAGTCAGTAGCGAGTAGTGTCCGATGAGGTATTTCTACAGGTTTTGAAGCTTAGCTATTAGTTTCATCTGGAAGCCAAATCCTTTTTTTTTAAAAAAAAAAAACATACTTTTTCTCCAAGACCAAAACTGAGGCCAGAGGTGACGGTGAAGAAAGGGAGGGCAGGATTTGTTAGCACCCTTCGCAGCAATGCTTGGCAGAGGCAGACAATCAGAATTTTTCCAGGCAGCTTTAAGATCCATGTGCCTCTGTCTAATTCAAGGACATAGATCACTCTGCAGGGCAAGACCAAAGTCCTAGCAGCTCCTGAGTGACTGCAGCCGGCTCACAGGGCACCGACCTCGGATCCAGAGACCCAGGCCGCACACAACGTCGCATTTTCGGACCACGCTGTTGCAGGATGGAGCATTCCCTTCACTCGGGTTGAGAGCACAGGAACGCTTGCTCATTTAAATACAGGAGGAAAGATGCTTCTCCAGACTTCTCAGCATCACTCTGGGCAAACTTTAAACTTCACCATGAAATGCAAACTCTTTGCAGTCGTTGCAATGGATGAAACAGCAGAGCAGGACTTGAAGGTAGGGGGCCAGTATTTCAGCCTGTGCCAAGCCCAGAGACACAGCAAGAGCTACCACCTCTCTTGGCTTTACTGCTTCCAAACCGCTGTGGTTCCACGGACATCCCAGGGAGAGGAGAAAGCAGCAAGCAAGCTCCAAGAGATCAGATGCCGTTCCAGAAGAACCCTCTGTTCCTTGCTCTGAGTCACCCCAAAGGTGCCTCTTAATGCCCCAGCGACTCCTGATCAGGATCCTTCACAGCTCTACAGAAAGCCACTTCATTCACAGCTTCTGGATACGGCCAGAGAAAGGCTAAAAGCGCATCTCCCACAGCTCTGAAAGACTGAGATCACTATAGCAAGTACCTTTGGTCCAGGGACCGCTGCAACGGTTACAGCAACAGCTTTGCCACCTTCCTTCCACTTATCACAGGGCTGCAGCGAAATCTTCCAGTGTTTGCTAAGGGAACGACGCCTCCTCAGAGCAGCAGCCCTTGCTCCCCAGTGCAGCAGCGACCACTCCCTTTGGCAGAAGGCTCCAGGACATCCAAATGGCTTGCATGCTCTTCCTTCCTTGGACCCAACTTAAAAGCATATAGGACCACCCTGCAAATCCAGTTGCAAAGCTCGGCTGCCCAAGACTAGGTTCGGTGCTCTTCTCCCAAATCCTAGAAAGCAGGGGAGCTGCGCAGCTGCCTGCTGTTCAGAGCTCCATGCTCCCCAGAGGTTATTCCACGTAGCTGCACGTGATTCTGGCTCAGTCTGCCTCCCAGCAGCTCTCCAGCTGCATCCCCTCTCGGTGAGGGCCAAAGAACAGTCTTGCCATAACGCCTGGAGCACATGATCTTCCTTAGAGAGTCCCCTTCTCTGTCTCTCCCCACCTTGAAGTTTCCAAGGGAGGATAATAAAATTCAGCTGATCATAAGACAGTATTTCTCATGCTGAAAATAAACAACAACAACAAAAAAAAGAAGACATCAAAAATAAAACTTTCAAAAAATTGTAAATAGTGCCATGACATTCTTTGTTCTGCAAGGAGTCCGCGAGCTGGGCTCAGCTGCCTCCGAGACCCCTCTCCCTCAGCCAGGAGCTGAGGCTCTTGTTCCCATTCTGCTGTGCTTCTTAGGAGTCTTGAACCCTCTTCTCTGTACAGAAGAGCTTGAGAGCCGAAGCGGCACCGCAGAAGCGGGCTTCACCGTCGCGTGCCTCCTTCCCACCACAGCCTGACTTGGGCTACAGGATGGCAACAATCAAATTCCTAGCGGGGAAGAGAGAAGGGAGAGGGATCAAACAGCCCGCTTGATGAGGCAGGATCTGCCCCAGACTGCAGCCGGTTTGCCACGAGAGCGAGCACAGGCTTGTGTGGGCACAAATACGCACGAGAAAGCGGCAGAAGGCTTGTTCCCCTCCCCAAGGAAAGCTGGGCAGTGGTAAAAGACCAGGGAGTGAGTAGCCACAACTTCTTTGGGAAGGTTTTGTGTTTTCTTTGCAATCAGAGGGAACAGAGCGATTTGCGTTTGACCCCACGGGATGGCGCAGAGACCAGCGGCACACACGTACCATCAGTGACAGCAACAAGACGGGCGAGGCAGCCTCGCTACGTGGAGGACTCGGTCTCCTGCTTCTGTTTGGAGATGAGCTGAGCTTCCTTCAGCGACAGATACACCTCCTCCTGTGGGTCGTAGTAGTAGAACTTGCGGATGTAGGAGATCAGGGGCCTGGGGAAGGTACGGGCAGAAGCTTTAACCCTGAGCCACAGCCATGCCAACCTCCACAAAGGATAACCAGCACCTCTCCCCCAGCCCACCCAGCACAGTCACCTCCAGCAGGAACAGGAGCCTGTACCCCAAGGCTGTGGCACCGGCAGGTAACACCTCACTCCTGAGCCGGTCACCACTCCCGCGTGCATCCCTACACACCACAGGACATTTTTCTTGCTGTCCCAAAGCTGAAGCAGCCCACTGCTCCCTCCCAGAGCCCCGGCTGCAGATACAGACGCCTTCTCGCTGCCGGCTGCCGCAAGACTCAGGGAGGAAACCAAAGAGACTCGTCCCCAGGCCAGTCCTCGAGACTTACTTGGGCAGCGGGAGCTCGGGGATGTGGTCTATTCGGACCAACTGCCTGATCCGAAAGCGGCAAAGGTGCTGAAGGGATTTGACATTGCTGAACCTGGAGACTGGATACAGGAGCTGGACAGGCGTTGGAGGGAGACCTTTGGAAAAAAGCAATATTGGAGACAATGGAAAGGAACCGCTACCGATTCAGAAAGGAAAAGCTGGCTCTCGGGAACCAGAGCTCTCTGCAAGGTTGTGTCCGACAGCAGATCTCCCCAGGAGCTCACTGCTTTGGAGTCGCTTGGGACCGGGGAGCCAAGCCTTCTGGGGTGATACCCCTTTGGCTGCAAAATATCTCCAGCCTTCCTCACAAGGCAACAACAGTTCTGATGTCATGGGGTGGCGGGGGAAAAGCGGACCCTGGGACACTGCCAGCTCCGAACCACCCCCCTCTCCCAGGACTAGTAGACGAAGCATCGCTTTATACAGAGAAGCAACAGCATTTTGAAAGGATGCAGAAAAAAGCCAAAGGAGAAGGCAGGCAGCATGACCGGCACGTAGGCTTTGCTCTGCATAACCCTTTGGGTAGTTCTAGCGAGGCGTTAAAAAGCTGGGGGATTCGGTCAGCTCAAGCTGCGCCAGAGCTGCTCATTCTTGGGGTCACGAGGCTGGGCACAAAGGCAAAGGCAGCGGCTTTGCTCCAGCCAGCTCCCCACGCAGGGACCAGCCTCGCAGGGCTGAGCTGCATCCAGGCATCCCCCCGCCCCACAGCCGCCTCCTTCCCCAAAGTTAAGAGCAACAATCGAGCCCACAGAACCGAGAGGCCGGCAGGAGCACCGGGAAGGATCTTTGGGAGCTGGGTTCATTCACAGCACAAGGTTTTATCTGTCTTTACAGAAGGATTCAAAGCTAGTTACACTCTAACCCCCTCCTGCTGGCTTGTCTCTGAGGGCAGCGGAGTGAAAGGAGAAAAGGGAAAGCTCTTCACACTAAGATGGGCTCAAAACTGCTCCAGGCAGCTCAGGAAGCTGTGAGCCAGCTTTTGAGAAAGCACAGAACAGCCATCAATTGAAGGCTGGATTCTCCCCCCGCTTCTTATTCTCCTACCAAAAAGGAATTAGCCTCTGGGAGCTCAGCCAGCGACTACAGGGACACAGCACGAGCTCCGCGCGCTGCGCTAGCCACATGCCTCGCTGCCAGGAGCCAGATGCGAGCTGGAAACAGCCCCCTCCTCTGAGCAGCAGTAAAAAAAATAACGAGCACACTGGGGAGATGCAGATCCTAAATATTCCCCCACCAAAGATCAGGCATCAGTGTGAGACTTTGTTTTTCAAGGATCAAGGGACAGGAGCTCTACGAAGCGCCCAGGTCCAACGCTGCACCCAGACGGAGAGGTGCGGGACCCAGAGCCAGCGGCACAGCTGGCTGGCGGCTCAGAGGGGGGACCAGGCACCGAGGGACCCCCCCACAGGTGCACAGCGCTGTTTGGGGAGGGATATTTTCTTTTTCAAGGATAATTTTCTACAGCAAGTCCTTTCTAAGGTATTTGCCTGGAGTCCTAAACCCTCAAAGCCCTATTCTCGAGGGGAAGAGATCTCAGGATCAGGAAGGTAAAGCATCTTTAAAGTTGAAAGGATTTTTTGAAGGTAGGGTGCATTGTAAAAACCAGCTTTACGTCCCTCGCCTCCCCAAGGCATGGCCACCTTATAAATCAGCTTTCCAGTTACTGACAGTGCCTGCAGCAGAGGGCAACACTGAACAGATCTGGGCTGTGACTCCAGCCAGGAGCCCCGAGGAGGGAACAGCCCATCCCTCCTCTAGACCAGAAACTCTTTGGGCCGAATCCTCTCCATGCTGCAGTGCCACGGAGAGGTTGCTGGCACCATCGGGGCCTGCAGGCATGATGGCAACATGGATAGGGAGCAAATTTACTACAGTTTCACTTCCAGATTTACCACAGCAATCCTCACACTCTTCTCAGTCCTGCCCCTCTCTGCTTCCCTGCTGCCACCCATCTCACCACGGCAGCGTTCCCAACCCACCGCGGGAGTTACCCTTCCTGCTCCGTTCTGTTCAAAGCATCGCCACTCACCCGCCCTCCAAATTCTGTTCCCCACTGTTGCTCTCTCGCAAGTAAGGGGCATATTTGCCTATTTGGCAGGCTCTTCCCTTCCTTTCACATTGGATTTTTTGGCTAGCTTTCTGGTACACCAGGACAGACGAGCGAAAACCAGAAAAAAATAGATACAGAAGATACTGGTCCAGTTGCCTGCCCAGATTTAGCAGGAGGGAGATGTGAGTCTATTTAAGGAACTAGAGTTTGATGGATGGGGAAACAAGCACTCTGCAATCCCAACAGCGTGCAATCAAACATGCTTCAACAAAGCTCCACTAACACTCCCTCCTTGCTTGCAAGTACCTGCCTGTTGATGGGCTCTGGCATCCCGGTCCCCCCCCGGGGACTCTGAATCTACAATTTCTATCGCTTGAGGCTCACTTTCAGCTCGCACTTGGAAACGCTCCCATACGCTCAGCTTAATGTCTCTCCTCTCGACAGCCCCGGGTGGGTCTCAGCTAAGGGAGAACTGGGAAACTACAAAGAAAAAAAGGTTCATAGGAACAGCACCACTGAGACTGGGGGAGGGAAGAAAGCAGAGTTTTAGTAGCCAAATAATTGCTTGTTGAGGGACTGGCTTTCCAGTCTCCAGCTCCATTTGTCATAGTGTGAGATGGTGTCATGTTTCCATACTCTTGGAAAGAAAGGTTTGGGAAGTCTCCTTCACACCACGAGTAAGCGGTGCAGCTGCTGAGCGAGAGATCTGCTCCTCAGGATCCTTCAGAGAAGTCAGTGGGCAAGGATGCAGCCCAGGGCACTGAGCGCAGCAGACCAAAGCCACCTTAAACTGGCTCTCTAGGACAGACCAGCGGCTAAACACAGAGCAAAACATCCCCCAGACTCAGAGCGGGAGACTCACCTGGAACCCTGGATCGGAGGAAGTAGAGAAACTTCCCGTTTTTGGAGTGCATGATTGCTCTCTTTATGAACTCCACCACAGACTGGCAGCGGTCTTCAAACTTGGGATGGCACCACAGGCTGAAGGTCCCTTCCAAGAGAACAGAAAAGGTTTCACGTTATAGGAGCGCTGGTGGCAAGAGGAGACATTTAGTCACAAGCCTGATGTTCTCAAAGACCAGGTGAATGCTTCAGGCTGACTACTTCTTGTAGAGCTGGGATGAGGCAAGCACCAAGAGGAAACACCAGTGGCACCAGCTTGCAAGGATGCTGTTCCACTGGAACCAGTGCTCTCCAAGAGCTGAGGATACGCAGAAAGACATGACAACGTGACCACTGTAACCCAAGCATGGCCACAAGTCATGCTTGCCTGAACTTGTAAACAGCCTGCAACGACTGCTGGGTCTAAAACTTAAAACTACCAAAACATACTTTAACAGAGCATTAGCAGATGCCCCTGCTCCTGCGCAGTACCCCATTAACAGCACCCCCAAAGAAAGCTAGCGCATCAGAGCGGTTAAGCCCACACGTAGAGGTACGTAAAAACAGTGATCCCGGTGCTGAGGTCCTCTTCTGCCAGTCCTGTGGCTGTTAAGGATCACTTATTTCAAAGCAAGCATGGGTGCAGCTTCATGCTCTTGCCAGCTGTTTCAAACACCTTAATTCAAATTACTGTCAAGCCAGAACCAGGGTCAAGATACACCGACACGGTCCTCCCTGTGCTGCCACCTGACACGACGGACGCGTTGAGCTCCAGTGGCAAACAATGAAACTGGAGATGGGCAGCAGAGGGAAAGCAGGCCCTCTAACCTCTTTACAGATCTCTAAATAGGTTAAGTTTAAGCCTCAAGCCAGACCAGAGTCTCACGATCTCTTTGTGCTGCAACCAGACACCCCCTCCTTGCACCAACATGCAACTCTTTATCCCCGCTCGCTTGCCAAAACACTGCCGACATCCCCCTCCGTCCCCCCTGCATCTCCCTTTCTATCTGCAGATTTGTCAGTGCTCCAGCAGGAGCCAACACAGAGCGGAGCTTCACCAGGAAGCGGAAAATGGGAAAACAAGGGCTTTGTTTAGGACGGAGCCCATCAGGAGCCAGGCCCAGGCTGACGCCTGCAGCGGGGCAGATTCCAGCAGGAGGTGTGTGACAGCACCGATCCGCACAAGCGCTAACCCAGAGCTAGAGAGGCAGCAGAGCGACGTTGAAAACACCCTGCGTCCATGTAAAAAACTTGTGCTAAGGAGGATGGGTACCCAGCACAAATTTTTGGACAAGCAGTTCCCCCAGCAGCATCACAGGCTCCACAGCACCAACCTGTTACAGAAAATTCAGAGGAAGCAGCTCTGTAGGATGTCCGGCACTCAGGGCTTTCTATAGGGTGGACAGCAACCAGCAATACAGGGGCTATATACAGCCCACAAAATAAAAAAAACAACACACCTCCTCTCTCCACAGCTAGGTATGTAGGCTTTACTGGGAAAAGATACCTCTCATCCCTGCCATGGGCCAGTTTGGGAGCAATGACCTGGGTTAGCACCTGCTAAACATCCAGGATCAGCAAGCACAAAAATAAGTAATTCTTCTCGGGAATCTCTGATGTGAAGGAGCCCTTAAAAGTGGCCAGTAGATGCAAAGGACAAAGCACAAACACAAGCCTCCCCAGCCCGCCTACTCAGCTCGCCTAAAAAAAGACAAAGAAATTCTGGTTTGTTCCTCTCACCTACCTGAAACCTGAAGGTCAAGCATTTATCTCTTTACCATTCCCCCAGCCTCACCATTTGTCATCTTCATTGGTTTATCAAAGTGCTCAGGTCTGCAGTTTTCCACGGTGCCGCAGCACATTCAGCACCAGGCGGCCCGTCCTGGGGGGAGCACAGGGCTGCCGACGCAGACCCAAGTGCTGCACCCAAAAACGAAGTCCTTGATGCGGTGCCATGGCTGGAAGCGCTGCTCAGGGGAAGGTGGCAGCACCAACCTCCGTCCATGCAGCAAGGATGGCTTGAGGAAAGGGAAGGCTAAGGAAGCTCTGAGAACAGACGTATCCCGGCCCCAAAATAAGAAACCAGACGAGCAGCAAGAGAAGTTTACTCCAAAACTCAGTTATGAAAAAGTATCCACTGTACAGGCAGCCTTACATCTCCTCCAGCTGCAAGAGCTTCTTGTAATTTCTATAAGGACAGGGTAAAGAAAATCCTTCCTTATGCAATGGTCAGGGACAGGGGAACTGGCTCTAGACAGGCTAGGATTAACGCTGGGGCATCTTCCCGTCAGAGGGGCTCAAGAGCAGGAGCGGTGCCAGGTTTCACTAGCAGAGGTGGAAGATGACCACAGCAGCACCCCTGGGGCAAGGGCAGAAAGGAGAAAAAGATGAGCTTTGCTCCAAAAGGTTGCAAACCACTGTTTTCTGCAGCAGGTTGGCTGGGAAGCCTCTGAACCCATTATTTGCAGGCATATTTAATGACAAGGCTCTACAGGCAGCTGTTATTAAAGCTTGCCCACTGGTTACAGGGCAGCTTCCCCCCGTGCATTGAGCCTCTTGGGCATTTTACTCAGCCTGAGGACAGGCGTCTGTACAAGGGTTCAACACAGAAAAACCACACGTGAAGATGAGCAGACAAAGCGTGTGGGCGAGGCGAGAAGCAGCCCATGCAGGAGGAGGAGCGTAGCAGGAAGAAAGGGCACAAACAGCGTACTAGGAGTTCTCAGAATAAAAACCCACCACGGTGGAGCTAAAGCCTCAGCCTGGGACCGACTGCAGCTGGTACCACTGCCGAGCACCCCTCAGACAGGCGGAGAAGCAAGCAAAGTGATGAGCTGCGACATCAAGAGATCATTCCTCATTTCACAGGGAAAGAAGCTTCATTTTGGGAAGCGCTGACAGCTATGAATGGTGAATCTTGCCGTACATCACATCTGAGCAACGTGGGATCCCAAAGACCTTGCCATCATCATTTTTGAGTCCAGTTTTCCAAAGCAAGGCCTAAGGACGGGCACAGGGAACTCTTGTATTCCCCAATTTTTCAGAGTTATAAAGAGAGTCGCTGCTTGAGGCACAAAAAGCAAAGTCAAATGCAGCTTGTAAGGCCTCTTGCAGAACCTCAACACAAGAGCGAGGACACATTGCCGCTGCTCCCCCTCTTCTGCCAGCTCTGTGCCCAGAGAGCTGTTTTGGGACCTTGCGATCAGACTGGTCCCCAGCCACAGGCCTCCGCTTCCAGCGGCATCCCCAGAACCGCCCGTGGCTCTTACCTCTGTAGTGCTCCATCCTGGTGTGATGGGTGATGCCCTGAGACCGAAAGCTGAGGCTCAGGATGTAACGGGGGTCAGAACTGTCTCGCACCAGAAAGGACCCATCCGGCTTCCCCTTCAGCTTCATCTCTGCGTCCTCCCAGTTCATCGGTCCCCAGTACCACCCACACTAGGAAAAACAGACAGCCAGAACATCAGCAGATACTAGCAAGAAAGATTTTTATCAGCAATCAAACACAAAACAATTTGCTCTCGTTATTAATTCCCTTTAAATGCCAAAATGGAGGTGTTTGGTTGTCTCCACCCAGGAGTATGGATGGTTGGGACTCGTTGCTCCTGGATGAGAGCGCACCATCGCATCCCTTACCACCCAGAAGTGGCAAAAGAACAGACAGGACTACGAGACCCCTTCCACGCACAACAAAATGCTTTTCTAAACTCAAAGACCTCACTGGGAGAAAGGCAGGAGGGTTTTTTTCAGTCCTATCCTAATCTTATGCTCCCAAGTTCTGTAAAAGGGATGGTCGGTCCCCAAAACCAGAGCCTAGACCCGCAGTCTTTTCCTTCTGGCTGCCACCCTGCCCCATGTTACCGTTACCTTCTCCAGCTCTCGCAAGCTGGCTGCGAAGCTGCTGGAGTCCGGGCGGTAGAGCGGACACTGCAGGTGCGGGGCAGGCTGGCCGGGCATCGCCTCCATCGGCCTCAGCGGGACAATCCGTGGGAAGGCGTCTGCAGAGGGAGAGACAGCCCGGGCCACGGTCACCCGTGGGGAGCTCACCTCAAGGACGAGTCGCCCCATCCCCCTCGCATGGCTGTAGAGGGCAGGGCAGGAGGGGCAGGGCTGCAGCGTGGAGGAGGAAGCTGGGCTGACCGATGGAAGGACAACGTCCTTGTGAAGGACAACTACCTGGCTCTTCCACGGCACCTTCACCTGCTATTTCCTTACGCTAGCTCAGAGGGAAGGCAAGGGAAGCGCCGGGAGGCACCGACTGGAAGGGATGAACACACACCCTGCAAAAGGGGCAGTTAAAGCCCACTGGGTCCTGAAGGAAACCAAAAGCAGAAAGGTAAATGCACAGGGAACACCCTCGTGCGCTGTTGAGCCGGACTCCACACCAGGCTGGCTGTCAAAGCCGGGGCTCCTGCACTGAACCCTGCTCCCATGGCTCTTTTCCGACATCGCTGACACTCATTAACGCGTTATCTGACACAGCGCAAATCGGGGTGGGCTGCACTTCTGC